AATATTCGGACCGAAATAGGACGAGTCAACCGGATAATTTAGGCGGTTACACAACGCTGAATTGCGCGAATTCTATCCGGTTAATATAATTGAAATGATTAAGTTGAGGAGATTAAAATGGACATGTAAAATCTTTGGGCTTAGAAACGAAAGAATTCGTAAGCAATTAATATGCGCTGTACCGACTGGCAAGTGGTAGACCAAAGCGAAGGTGGGAAGATTGCGTTAAGGCTGATTTGGCGGGGTTGGGTATAGACGGAGCCCGTTACATGGAAGAATGTGGACATCGATTGGTGGTATCGGCGTCGAACCTTCGGGTTCGCAAAGCCTCATTATTATTCTTTTACTACTTCCTATATTCTGTACTGAGAACGTTTAAGACGACCTCTATTGTAAAAAAAAAATCATAATTATAATAATAAAACTTGGTTCAGTAATACTTAACTGAATATCTTGAATTTTATTAGAAATTTAACATATTTATTGATTCCTAGAGTTTCGTTAAATTTTATATACTTTCCGGAAACGTATCAGGGAATCTTTCGATCTTCCTTTATTCTAAGGTGTTACCTTCCTTTCGATAATCAATGGTATTACTATCTTTCCGATAATTTCCATGTTTCGAGCTTCGTATTTAAGCTAGTAAAATGAGTTTTTTTTTAAACACTGGCCTTCAAAGATCACTTAAATATTTAAACATTATTTCATGTAGATATATTTTTGTTTTCTTCCGGATTAATTAAAAAAGTTATTTAAAAAAAAGTCTCCACTCCAAAAAAAAATCCTCGATCCTCTACTACCTTATATCGATACTTCAGTTGAACTATCGAAAGGAGAATCGATAAATTCCTGGGAAGTTATGTGATCCACAGATCTCCCCACCTCTGCAGTTAGGGCAGATTAGTATCTGCTAGTTTCCTGAAGTTATATTTCTTTGTCGCTTCTTGTAAGTCGATTTTATCAAAACAGTAGCTGTAATATCTGCGGCATTTATATATATATATATATATATATATACCTTAATTACGTAATCGAAAAACTTTAAGAAAATACAAGATGAAAACACTTTCTGCAAAACGCATTTAATACAAATATCAGAGTTTCGGTATGAAAATATTGGGTATAGATGTTTTTCTTTAAAATCCAGCTTTGTTTGTTTATTATTGATATGACAAAATCTAATTTGCACAGTTCTTTTATTGGATCAGATAAATAACAGTTTAAAGGTATTAACTACCATTTTCATGAAAATTAGATGCAGCAAGTTTTTCAGATCACTCCCTCATAGGGATGGGTTGATACTAAAATTTTTGTATCTAGATACAACTGATACGGGTACTTTTTTGTATCTGATACTTTTATCTGATACATTTGTATCTGATACAAATGGGCCAGTAGTTGGCCATGACCTTCCTACTACTTTTTATCTGATACTGGCATCAGATACTTTTATCTGATATTTGTATCAGATATTTTTATCTGATATTTGTATCGGATATTTTTATCTGATATTTTTATAAGTTATGTTTTTTATTAGTTATGTTAAGTACTAAGAAAATATTTACACAATTTTTTAAACAAAATATGCTTCATATTTGACAAAAGAATGGAATATATTAAATAAAAATATAACAAATTCATGCAGAGAAAATATTTTCCTAATACAACGTTCTTAAGAATTTTGTAACAATTAAAAAAAATCTTTATAGCTAAGTTTAACATACACACACATGGATATATATATATATATATGTATATATTTTTTTTTTTTTCTTTTTCTGTTTGTATTACAGAGCATGTAGATCTTTTGCCACCTTAACAAGTATGCTCAATCTCTACCTGTCTTGGGCTATTTCTTTCCATTATCTGATATTTGTATCGGATATTTTTATCCGATACTCGCATCGGATACTTTTATCTGATACCTGGACTGGATACCCAGCGTTATGCATACTGGCACTTGGGCTTGATATCTCAATAATTGTATCAGATATTTTAATCCAGCTGTAATTGATTATTTATCGGGTTTGATATTTTAATACCTATTTGATACCTAATAAAACATATACTAAATATGTACCTATATATATTTTATTCCTTTATTATTAAATTTGTCCCTGTAATAAATATTTTACACCATTTTTAAATATAATAGTTCTAATGACTTTATAGTTATGTCAGGTACTATGAAGATATTTACACAGTTTTTAAACAAAATGTGCTTCATATTTGACAAAAGAATGGAATATATTAAATAAAAATATAACAAATTCATGCAGAGAAAAAATTTTCCTAATACAACGTTCTTAAGAATTTTGTAACAATTGAAAAAATTCTTAATAGCTACGTTTAACATACTCACACACACATATATATTTTTTATTTTCACTGATCAATCTACATCTTGGGATTTAGATTATATAGGACTTGTATAATGTTTACAATACTATTAAATTACAATACTTTGAACATATTAAATTACATATGTAAATCATTTAAAGTAAATATTAATCCACTCTTTTATTATTTTTTTTTCATTAATACAATGGTATGACAACAAAAGTAATTTGTCCTTCATTTCAAATTTCAGTTAAAATTCCATAGTTTATTGTTTTTAGTAACTATCTTGCTGTATTGGGGCCTTATTGCTCATATTATGTCTTTAATATATCAGTATAGTTATGTAAATCCTTCTGTTATTACTTATTTTTTAGTTTTTTTTTATTGTAATATGCATTTTGGCCAGATGTTATGTTAATTTTTATGTACAATATTGTTATTCTCAAGGGACTTTGTCCCAGAATAAAGGTGATTATTCTATTCTATTCTATTCTATATACATATTTATTTTTTCTGTTTGTATTACAGACCATGTAGATCTTTTGCCACCTTAAATCATTCCATTCTTTTGTCAAATATGAAGCATATTTTGTTTAAAAAATTGTGTAAATATTTTCTTAGTACCTGACATAACTATACAGTCATTAGAACTATTATATATTAACTAATAAGCCCAAGCGCCAGTATGCATACCTCTGGGTATCTAGTCCAGGTATCAGATAAAAGTATCCGATGCGGGTATCAGATAAAAATATCTGATACAAATATCAGATAAAAGTATCTGATACTAGTATCAGCTATCTGTGGCTCTAGTGCCCTCCTTCAGCCTCCACTGGCTTTTAGTACTAGTGATGCGGCTGGAAAAGTGGCACTGGGATCTCTGGAGTCCTACTTTGCTTTCCACATGTGGGGAGAAAAGCCTGGCTCGGAGATTCCTGGGCGAATGTATATATTGTATATAAAAAAAAAATAAAAAAAAAAAAAAAAAGTATCAGCTAAAAATATCCGATAGCAGTATCAAATAAAAATATCTGAAATTAACATTACATAAAAAACAAAAAAATAAGCGTGAATATATTTATCTACAAATAAATATTTAATTAAATTAAACTAAATGAATAGATAGTTCTAAAGAAATTGTGCACAACTAAAATTATAACTAAACATTTCTCTTATATCAATGTGGCATGTCTGGACAACCATTTTGTATCCATGTGAGCATCAGATACTTTTTGGTTGTATCAGATACTTTTTTAGTATCAGATAAAAGTATCTGATACATACAATCCGACCCATCCCTACTCCCTCATACACAGGCGGGTCTACAGGGGGGCTTTCGGGTTTCCCCCCACCCAAAATGGTAAAATATAATCATTTCTTATGAAATAAATATTGAAACATTATTATCTCAAAAAGTATTATTGTTCATGTAATTACATTTAATAGGACATCAAAAATCACTTAAACATCATTCCATATAGGTGGTTAGATGGTTTCTTTATTTTTTTTCCCCAAGTAATGGTCATCATATATATATATATATATATAAGCTTTCGAGAGGGGGAAGGGGGGCTTTTGCGCTGAAGCCCCCCTCCAAAATGGTAAAATCTAACCATGCTTATGGTAAAAATAAAAAAATTATCTCGTAAAGTATTATTGTTCGTGTAATTACATTTAATATGACTTCAAGAATTACATAAACACCATTTCATATATGTAGCTAGTATTTTTATTTTTTTTCTAGTGTAGTTATCGAAAAAAAAACTTTCTGTCTAAAGCTCCCTCCCCAAAATGAAATCCTGTTTTTTCTTTTTTTTTTCTTTTTTTTATTTTTTTTTTATTTATTTTATATTACAACATGTTATACAGATAAGTTACAAGTTCATGGTTGTAGTAACCTAACACTTGATATAACAGTGGTTTGAATACTACTTAGAAAATTGAAATTAATTTTTTACAGTAGGAAAAATCTCATAAAAACCTACATAAGATATAAATGAAAAAAAAAATTATGTTACAATCATTAAAAGTGCAAGAAAAATAAATATAATTTATGTGCAAAAGGAAAACATTTATATATACACATATACACACACACACACATATATACACACACACATATATATATATATATACATATATATATATATATATATATATACACACATACACAGTATATATGTGTATGTATGTGTATATATATATATACACATACATACACAATCCTGCTTTGATATTTTGATATCTATGTGAACTACAGTAAACTGATGTGGTTCACAGAACTTTTACTTCTCTCATAAAGGGCTTTCCTGGTTTTTTTTTTGGAAGCTACTATATCCTTTTTATTCCCATCCTGATCCATTTTAACCTTCACCACTTCCACTCATTTCTTTTTTTACTTAATAATACTATATATTTTATATTTAACTAATGAATTATTCTCAAAACAAATTTATTAACTATACTAACTCCTTTCAACCATACCATACCGTAATATACACTAGCGGATCCAGGATTTAATTTTGGGGGAGGCTTCAGCCCGAAAGCCCCTCTTCCTCCCCGTAGATCCGCCCGTGGTAATATATGTATATAAAATCAAATAGGCAATTTCCTCTTAAATTGTAATTTCCGATTTATTTCAATTGGCATCCATCAATTGCATCCCAAACTCTCCAATCACACATCACAAATCTTGAAGAATGGTGTCAAAACTGGAGGATTAAAATAAACTCCAATAAATCCCATCAAATTACCTTTACCCTGCGTCGCAAACCTATGACCTCCTGTCCTACAGTATTCTTAAACAATTCCCCACTTATCCCAGTTGAACAAATTCGTTACCTAGGACTCCACCTCGACAAACGACTCACATGGAATCCTCATAAAAGACTGAAACGACAAGAAACCGCTCGATGTTTCCGACTACTCCAACACTTACTAGACAAACGCTCTAAGCTTTCACTCAATTACAAACGACTCATATATATGACAATAATAAGACCTACAGAATTGAGCTCTGGGGCTCCACTAAGCCATCGAATTCCTCTCGTATCCAATCCTTACAATCCAAAATCCTTCGTAAAATCCTCAACGCTCCTTACTTTGTCACAAACAAAATCATCCATAAAGACCTTAATGTTCCATATGTTTCCGATTTGGCCCAATCCAGATACCTATCCTTCCATAACAAACTGCAGAACCATCCGAACCCTCTTGTTTCAAACATTGCTTCCTCCTCTATCCCTGATAACCCTCCGAGGCGTCTGAAAACAAGATGGCCTCGGGATCTTCTAATATAGAACTTTAATTTGAGTTCTACCAATGGGTAGTTTCTCTTCATATTTTGCATGTCATGTTACCAATATCACATTTACCTGTTGTATTTTTAATGTAATACAGTTGTAAATTTCAATAAAATTATAAATAAAAAAAATAAAAAATTTCAATTGGCATTTGAATTACCAATTACATTATGTTAGTGTCAGGGGTGGCTGAATGAGTAGTGCTTGTAAATATTTAGCATATTTATGACCATTTTTTTTTTTTTTTTTTTCTTGTCGAAACAGTGATATCTTGTTTTTTGAAAGTAGCCCTAACTGTTGCTGCTACTTTTAAACTGCTTTTGATGTTAAACAGTTTTGCCCATCACTAGTTTCCCAAAAGGTATCCCTCTCAAAAACTCAAAACTCCTAAGAAATGTGCCCCATTCAAACATTTTGTGCTATAACCACCTTATGGGCACTGCTGTTGAGTGCTAAATCTATGTGCCCAAAGAGAAAAAAAACAAAAACAAATGTGAAATAATAGGTACTGGTAATTCTACCAGTTTGTTAAATCATTTAAAGATTCAATGGAATCCTTTAAGAGAACTGAGTTTTACAAAAGGATCTAAATACTTATTAAAATACCAATGACCCTTCCCTGTAGAGGCAATCTAATAATAATTGATCATAAATTTCCTTAATAATCACCCATATTGACTAGAGTTGACCTTATATTTATATCATTAAATTGATTCAAATGAAACACTTCAATTTCTGGAAAAGTCTGTATATATTACTTCCAGCAAAATGGCTCTGTTGAATGCCAAGTTGAAATCAGTTAACATATTTTGATTCTTTATTTAAGAAATGATTGATGATGCTTACATAAAATATGTAAATAATTAATTGACCATTTTTGTGAATTTAATATCTTCTAACAGCATTGTTGATCTGTTTCAGGGTTCTAATCTGACATTTTTGCCATTAAGGCAAAATACTGAATGACATGCATTCTATTTGAAAAACAACGACAGATATTTATTACAATGGATAAATCTGCTTCCACCAGTAAAGCTCATAGTGAAGTTATGAAAAGGACTGACAAGCGACCAGATCCCATCCACGGGTTTTTGTTCCAGTTAAAACTCCTTATGTTATTTTTATACCGTGGGGTAACAGGTGGTTATTCCTTTACTTTGGGAACAGAAATAGAAGAAGCAAAAAAATTTGATGATTTAGTCTTTGAATTCACACAAAACAAAAAGAAATATTATCGCCTTCTACAAGCAAAACATAAATTCGACAGAACTAGAAGCTCTATATCTCCTGATTCATTGTTGAATGAAATCAATGGTGACTTTAACCTACCAAAATATTTTTTTTCATATCTAGATGCAAAGAAAGAAAGCTTGTTTGATGGTGGCATGATCAAAGATGTTATCATTTGCACCAATATTAATTTTAATGATCAACTCTTCAAGAGTAAAGATATTAAAATTCAACGTATAAAGAATAAAGATGATATTTTGGAAATTAAAATAGGCCCTCTTACCAAACCGTTGCGGTACAAATTTAAAGAAGAGATTGTCCCCATATTGAAACAACATTTAGATTACTACAAATCAAAATCAAAAAGAGTGCTTTCTGATTACAATAACGATGACATCAAGGACTTCTTAAATCACTTGATCTTTGCAGTGGACTGCCCTAATGAACAAGAATTGGGTGAAATAATCAAAGGGGAAATAGGGAAAGAATTTGACTTCCACAATGTAGATAATATTTACAGTAGATTTATGATGACAATGATCGACTGGCTTCAAGGAAAAGAGAGAGGAAGGTTCATATCTGACGAAGAAGGAAAACAGTTTTTTGAAGAAGCTAAAAGGGGCATCCCAGTTCTATTCAATATCAAGAGTCCCGTTGAGTCATTTACAGGAAGGGCCAAAGAAGTAGACATTTTACACAAATTGCTGAAAGAACCTACTGGTAAAACTAAAGCCGTTTGTATATCTGGTATTGGAGGGGTGGGGAAGAGTGAACTGGCGAGAAAGTACATTAGTGAATTCAGAATGGAGTACAATAATAATGTCTTGTGGTTTAATGCAGAATCATACCAAGCATTGGAGGCAGGTTTCCGCTCACTAGCGAGCGACAAACTTGGCATAGCTACAAAGAATGCCAATGGAGATGAAAGGGGATTGATGTCAATAATTGAAGAGGTATATAGAGCCTTTTCAAACAGAAGATGTCTCATGGTCTTTGATAATGCCCAACATTACCGAAGCAATAGCGAATTTGATGAAGGTATTGATAGATTTTTGCCTCCATTTTCTGATGTTTCTAGACCATATATTCTCATCACATCACGTAACAAAAAATGGCCCACAACGATTCATGGTCTATCGCTTGATATGTTTGAAAAAGATGAAGCACTTCAGTTCATATCAAAAGTTCTCAAAACAAATATCGATGAAAGTTCAGCCTTAGCAGATGTTATGCATTGTTACCCTCTAGCATTACAGCAAGCAGTTTCATATATCAAAGTTCAAAATATTAAGTTACAAAACGTAGGTTCAAATTTCAATATCACTCATTACCTTAACCACCTTAAAGATAAGAGCAAGGATGTCCTTAACTTTTCATTTCCTGAAGACAGCGATATCGAGTACACCAAGACTGTTTATGTTACTTGGAATGCCACTTTAAATCTCATAAGAAAGTCTAAAAATGGCAAAGAAGCATTAAAAATAATGAATATCTTGTCGTTTATGGCCCCAGATGATATACCTATGGATTTATTTTTAAATTTGGTCAATGACTATGATGTCTTATCATCTGCATTGGATATACTAAAACAGTACTCTATGATTACCATTCATCACAAATTTATATCTTTAGAAGAGCGTGTGGTATTGATCTGTGTGCATAGACTCGTGCAAGAAGTAATTAGATTGAAGATGATGGAAGAAAATAAAAATAAGTTGGTCCTAGAAGAAGCCTTAATGATTTTTACAAAAAGGGAAAATGTTAATTATAAAACTTTAAATCATGCAATATCAGTATGGAATTATTCTTGTAAACCTGGAGTCCTTTCAGAGGATAAGAGAAGATATTGTTCTCTGGTTTCTACTTACATCAGTATTGAGCTTTTAGCAAACCATCAATATACAGAGATGTATTCATTTGGAAAAAAAGCAATAGAAATCTGTAGTTTATTGCCAATTGATGATGAAGGGGTTCAAGGATGTTTGATGATTTTAAGACAAAATAAAGCCATCGCTTTACAAGCACTAGGTAAATATAACAATGCGATGGACACTTTTCATGAAGCGCTATCATCCAGTGAAACTATGATTGGTGAAGGTAACCCTTACTCATCAATGATCAAGGGTTTCTTGGCCAAGAACTTGTTAAATCAAGGTAATTACGATGAAGCGATAAAACTTACTTCTGAATTATATGAGAATCACTCTCTGTCTTTGCCGGATAAAGTGACGCTTGCTCAGGCACTAAATGCTCAAGGAAAAGATGATGAAGCTTTAGATATATTGAAAGAAGTCGAAAAGTTCATAGGCCAAACGGAGAGTACAGATTCTAAAGAATTATTAGCTCATGTACTTCATCTTGAAGGTAAGTTTGAAGATTCATTATCCCTTTATCAATCATTAGATTACAGTAAGGAGGATGCCCCGAAAAAAAACCACAACAATTTGAATAAAAAATACCAAATAGCACAACTATATTTAGGTCAGAAGAAATATGCTGAAGCTTTAAAAGAGTATGAAGAAGTATTAGACATAGGAATGAAAGTTTTTGGTAAAAATCATCCTGAAACATTACGCTGTCAGTATATTATAGCTGAACTTCTCAGAAAGCAATGTAAGTATGATAAAGCACTAAAACTGTTTGAGGAAACTTATGAAAAACAAAAAACTGCATTAGGGAAAGATCACCCTGACACCTTAGATAGCCTTTTTGGAAAGGCAATTACTCTGGAAGATCAAGGGAAGTTAAACGATTCCTTAAGGACCTATCAGGAAGTGTTGAAGAAGAGAATTTCCAAGCTTGGAAAGGATCATCCTTCTTCTTTAGAAGCATGTATTAGTATTGGTGACGTATTTCACAAATTGAAAGATTATGATAAAGCACTCACAAAGTATAATGAAGTTCTAAACACAAAGAAGAAAGCAAAGAACAAAGCTGATAATCTGGCTTTAATGATTAAAATAGGAAAGATATATTTTGATAAAAGTGAGATTAATCAAGCGTTACCAATTTTCAACGATGCGATAAAAGTCATAAAAGAAACTTACGGTTGCGATCATTCTGATTATTTATCTGTCAGTACCGATATTGCACAGATATATCAAAAGCAAGGCAAGTATGATTTAGCACTTGATCATTTTCAAAATATATTTAAGATTAAGAAAAAAAAAATTGGAGAGGACCATCCAGATTGTTTATTTTTAAGGTATAATATCGCTAAAACACTTTCTTTTAAAAGTGAATTTAATGAATCACTGAAAATGTATCGTGAATTACTGAAAAAAACGAATGTTATCCTTGGAAAAGATCATTCTCTGTCATTGACTGTGAGAAATAATATTTCAGCATTGTTGGTTTGTCAAAATAAATTTGATGAAGCTCTTCAAGAATGCAAAGCAGCCATGAAAATTCAAAAGCTCAGTCCTGAAAAAAATAAAAAAATCACAACAGCTACTAAACAAATCCTTGTTAAAATTTTTTCTGAGCAAGACAAACACGAAGAAGTGTTGAAGCTTTTGACTGAAATTCTAGAGAATGAGATATCTATTTCCAACAAAAATCCTCTGACCATTGCTGAGACAAAAAATGAAATTGCAAAAACTCTTTTGAGACTTAATAAACCTCAGAGATCCATTAAATTTGTTCAGGAATCGTTTCTCACTTTTAAATCTCTTTTAGGAACAGAAAATCCTAAAACTGCTGAGCTACATGGTGTTTTGAAATACCTATTATCAGTTGAAAAACTTTTTACAGCTGTTAAGCAAAACAAAATTACTGAATGTATTAAAGAATTAGTCAGTTCTGGATGTGATTTTGAAACCCAGGATGATGAAGGTAGAACTTTATTACATCATGCCATCAACCAAGGCAATAATGAGACTGTTCAATATTTGCTATCCATCGGAGTGGATTTTACTCTGGTAACTGAAAAAGGAAACTCCTGTCTACATGTTGCAGTTCTTAAAGGAAACAAGGACATAGTCAAAGTCCTTCTGCAACATTCATCTCATTCTAGATCTAA